ATTGTTCTTTACGTCATGAAAGTTTTAAAAATTTTAAATCCAGCAATTGTTAAGACAGATCAACGATAGACGTGGTAGTCAGTGGCTAAATGCATACACAGCAGACATTTGGCGCTTAAAGACGCTTGGAACAGATTATTTGTATCTCATTATCTGTATTTAATTGTACTGCATTGCTTATACATTGGGTAATTGTTACCTAGAGCAATGCACCCTCCAGAGACAGTCCCAAGCTCAGGGTATCATGCGAACCAAAAAACCCAAACTTTACCTTTCTTAATTTCTATTTATTCCCTGGACAGAGGGAGGTAAGCCCCACTGTACCCCATCTCCCATTTTATTAGCGCTTCGTACCTACTTATAGAAAGCGGACATTATTAACTCAGAAGAACAATATGTAGGCAGTTCGAGAAAGTTTGGTTTACGATCAAGAAACTCTTACTATATGGTAAATATTCCTTTATTATGACTTTCAACCTAACAATAGAATAAATACAGATTTTCTGCGTAAGGATAATCCCTTTTTGCAGACCAGGTAAATGTCAAACTATCAAAACCATATCTTGCTATGATTTTTAACAGAAGGCATGTATATTACAACAAGATTATAATACATTTGTCTTTTCTGTAAGTTAATTTCATCATCTAAAGATATCTTCCTAAACAGTGATGCTGATGTTTTGGGGTAAAATACAGATGAATCAGGATGTAGAGCAGCACCAGGGGAAGTATTTGTTTTGCCTCCGTTTGCGAAGAGCTGCACAGTTAATGAATGTCTATCCTGGAAATCTCACCCTTGGTTAGTCATCTAACCAAGGTAAATACTCACGTTCTAGATATATAAAACAGAATGACGCCTCTGTTACTGACCCTCGTTATACATGATTCTAAACACGGTATATACACTATGAGAGGCTCAGGCTAAAACTAGGCATATTTGATAGGGAGAGCAGACCGTGAGATAGTGGAACGTACCGGTGTTTGGAATATATATATTTATGTATGTATGCATATACATAAATATATGCACACATACATATATGTGTATATATACATGTGTGTGTGTATGTATATGTATATGTATATATATGTATATATATACATATACATATATATATATATATATATACACACACACACACACACACACACACACACACACACACACACACACACACACACACACACACACACACACACACACACACACACACACACACACACACACACACACACACACACACACACACACACACACACACACACACACACACAACACACACACACACACACACACACACACACACACACACACCACACACACACACACACACACACACACACATATATATATATATATATATATATATATATATATATATATATATATATATATACAAACACACATACACACACACACACACACACACACACACACACACACACACACACACACACACACATATATATATATATATATATATATATATATATATATATACATATACATACATACATATAATATATATATATATGTATATATATATACATATTTATATATATATATATATATACATATACATATACATACATATATATATATATATATATATATATATATATATATATATTATATATATATATAACATACACACACACACACACACACACACACACACACACACATATATATATATATATATATATATATATATATATATATATATATATGTTATCCCATATATATCATAATAGACTTGTAGGCTCTTGTGAATCATATATATGATTTGAAAAATTATAAAAATAAGAAATTAAAGTAAAATAGAAATCAATTACTATTTTTTCCAATTTCTGAAATCAATATTCACCCAAATCTTTTGCTCTGAGTGTATGTCCTGTGCCACGCCCAACTGTTTCTGCTGGATATTCATCTCGCCATCACTTTATCCAAAACCCTTCGTTCTACAGAATAATCATGGAGAAGTTCCTCCGCCATGATGCTATCATGAATATTGACTTCAATATACCATATGTCTGCTCTATGATCACACGTGTTCTGGTGTGACTTCCGGTGTTCTTTGATTCAATATTGGTGTCAAGGGATATGGCTCTAGCTGATAATCACTATCGCCTATCAGACAGAGAAACAGTAATATTAAGTAATGATTTACTAATTCACTGTGCTTTAATGTGTTCAGAAAAGTTATGCCAAGTCTGGTGCATAATTTGTTTATACCTGAGGTAATTATTTTTTGCTCAATTAGCATGCAAATGTCGGAGTGATTCCTCCTCCCCTAATTCTTTTCTTGTATAAAAACAGTATCTTCTGTTAGAAAATTAGAAAAATATTTGGAAATTACAGCCGCAAACCATGAACGTTGATTTATCTCAGCCCCGCAATACCTTTTTTTTTGTCAGGTTCTATCAGAAAATTGTCAAGCCTCTTACCTTATAAATAATTTCTCCAGATTCGTCTGCCTCGAATCAAGTACATAGATCA